TGTTCTATTCTATTGTTCTATTGTTCTATTTGTTTTTTGCTATATTAATATTAATTATAATCTAGTTGTCAATTTTTATTTTATTGATAAAAATTTTATTTTATTTTAAATTCTATTGCTCTATTCTATTACTTTATTGTTCTATTGTTAACAATACTGATTTAATTAATTGTATAAAATAAAAATACCTACTTACTAATTGTTACAACTGATGCTAGAAATAGCTGAAGCTGGAAAATTTAAATATTTTAATATGAAATTTTTACAAATTTTGGGATGCATTTTTTTTAGCTTTTTTTCATAGTTAGCTTAGGAATTAGAGTTATTTTTAATAATAAACATGTATAAGTGAATTTTGATAGGGTTTATATTTTTAAATCAAGGTTCCTAATTTTTAGCTTTAGCCATTTCCAACATCAGCCATAACACTAATTGAATAAACTATTACAAAAATTAATTTTTAATTCATCTAATGATTCAAAACAATACTGTATATTTATTAACTATATTTTAAATATTCAAATTTAGAATGGATTTAGATCATAGATAAAGTGATCTAAGCTCTTATTTTTATATATAATTTTTACTTTATTTACTTTTGTATATGTAAAGATTAGTGACATAAAACAAAACCATTTTGGTATAACTTCACAGGCTAGCTTGATGCAGCCCTTTAGTACAGGCAAAATGCCTCAACTGGTGAGGCAGACTGTTCCTGGGTGCCTAATAGGATAGCCAGGAAATGTCAGATCTATAGTTTAGATAGTTAAATATATGAATATATATACTTTGATCTAATAAAGATACTAGTAAGGCTACTAATAGTTAAAAAAAAAAAAACCTGAAAATTTAAACATAAGTCATATTTATTTCCGGGTTTTCTTTTAGCAACACTTATATATATAAATAATTAATATAACCTCTACTATATAACTCTCCAAATTACTAATAACTTATTAATTAAAACTAACTTATCTTTATAATTTTATTAAAAACTTAAAATAAATTTGCATAATAAAAAAATTTTACTGGAGGTAAAATTCACCAGATATATTGTTTTTTAAAAACGGGTTTGACAATCGGTATTTGGTATATTATTGCGCTTTTCAAATTACTGTGACACACCGGGAATCAGAAATCTAAAATAAATGCAAATCTGTGATTGGCTAAAAATTATTTCTAACCAATGAATTTATTTTAGATTTCTGATTCCTAGTGTGATACGTGAAATTTGCTAATCACAGTAATTTGAAAAGTGCAATAAGTAGAAGTGTTCAACACCCTAAAAACCTAATCTTTACCTTAATATAAACCCAAACCCTAACTCTAAAGTTTAATTTAGCTTTAAAATTGGTAGTGAAATTTTCCATAGATCGTATAATAATTAAAAACATATCGTGGTAAATTTCACCTCCGGTGAATACTAAATAAATTCTTTAACTATCAAATTTTAAATATAAAATTGTATAGATTTAAAATACTTTAAAATAACAATTTAATAAAATAATTAAATTTTATAATTAGTAAATAATTAGGTTTAAAAAAATATCACTTAGTATATAGTACAATATACTACCTATAGCATGGGTAAATCCTATCCATGAATAAAAAAAAAAGTTGTAGAAACTAGATTTAATGAAACTTAAATTGATATTCTTAGCGATCACAAAATTTGCTACAAGTATAAACCAATTCTATCTAATAATAGAATTATACAAGTACTTACTGTACTTTTTTTTCAAGTTCCGATGGTCATTTCTGATCTCGCTGTTAGTGCAAAGGATGGGATAATACTTATTTATCCGACATGTGTGTTCTTAATTCGTTTTAATGGCTGGAGTGTTTTAATATCTGGAATATGAATATATTTTATAGTATACCCAGATACCAGGGTTGGAACCGAGTTTATTTTTCATATGCTAAATCCGGTTTAATCGGTTTTAACATATGAAAAATAAAACCGGTTCCAAACACTACCAGATACAAACCAAAATCGCATAGAGGTATGCATGCCGGAAAAATACGGTATCTAATTTTAATATTCTATATGTTCTAATAGCATTTATTCAGGGTGTGATGCTAACACTGTATATAATTATCTAATAACAATTTTTAAATGAAAATGCGGTATTGCTAATTGAAAAATTTACAATCATCGTCCCTTATTCTCGTGCAATTTGCTAAGAGAAAAAATGGTCACACATCCAACTACTATAAACGTACTCCATCCTTTCCAAACATTAAAGCATTGACCATCATCCATTTCACAAAACATTACATGACTAAGTCCAAATACTACAATTGCTCTAATAGAATTTAACAATCCAGTGGAGACATTGCCAATTCGCTTAATCAGCTGATAATAAGCAAGGTTATGAACGAATGACGCAAATACTAGTATCAAATATATGATTATGATTGTGAAAGTATCAGTATACCCGGCTTTCTTTGCAATTTCTTCTGTCACTAGCGAATTCCAGTTAGGAATCGTATAAAAAATTACATATGACATAGTCAAACATGAACAACAGCTTCCTACTAAAAAGCATGCTTTTTCTGGAGAGGGCGGAAGTTCATTAGGGACACGAACAATAAATATTTGGTCGGATACAACATAAACACATGCATATCCAAATGTAGCAAACGAAGTTAAAATCATTCCAAACATTGTAGAGGACATATTAAACGAGTGAAGTATCGTAGGACCAGTAGCAGTTGTAGGTGGTGGTATTGTGTGTTGATCATCTTGGTTTTGAGAAATTCCCAGTGCGCTAAGAGCAAGTCCGACGAATACACCAATAATGCATAGAGATTGTACTGCTGAAAGTTTTCGTCCAAGAAAAATAAATGAAAGAATAGCACACCAGATGACTACTGAACTATAAATTACTTGAAACATCTTGTTATATACGTCGATGAAAATGGAGTAAAGATTAGCTGTGCTAGCAATGATCAATGAATGATTGTGAAAATTAGCTTACCCCACTTCCAACATAGAAAAAACCTATCGTTAATGCAAAATTAGCCGTAAAGTCCAACAATGATGCGGCAATAATAAAATAGTAATTAACGACTTCTTTCTGATTTGAAAATTTGTCATTTGTATTTTCTAAAGTATCTTCAGAATCACCACTTGGTAATAATTGATATTCTTTCTGTGCTTCAGTTGCCTAATAGGAAGGAATTTGACAAATTAATAATAAATGTATAAGTAAAATAAAATAATTAAAGGATTGTAATCGAATGGGTGTAAACATCTTATCAACCTATCCGAATGGATATCCTTACAGAATTCCGGAATACAAATGGCATGAATTAATTTCTACATAATTATAAATACATAAACAACCTTGATTTGACCGATGTTCACCATAGTGAATTCCATTTTGCTTGATCCTTTCCTATTAGCCCACCATGTAGGTATTAGCAGCAGCCCAACCAAGGCAGTTCCAATGTACTGTGCAGTATTTGTAAGAAGACTGCAAATAAACATTGTGTAATATTATGTGATTATAAAGCTGGAGATTCTTTAAATTTTCAATATCCTCATAACATAGTATGATATACCTTATTCCGCCTATAAAAAAAAGAAAATGGTTTGAAATGATAACTAAACTTTACAAAAAAGAAGGATATAACCCTTACTAGCAGCTCCTTGATAGTATAAATACTGTGCAGCAATAGTTTGATAAAATCCAGTAAAAAGAAACATCGCCTGATATGCGACGATGACATGTAATGAAGACCTTTCCGACATCTTTGAATCCTTAAACTTGTAAAAAAAATTATATTAAATACGACGTACGTACGTACGTAAATGTGTTAAATGCTTACTATAATTGTTTGCTGCTTTTAATGCATATAAAAATTACGCTTTTTAGAATAAATTATCGTTACACGTAATTACGCTAGGGATTAGGAAAATTTTTTATTGAATATTTATAAGGCTACACAAATTTAATGTCTTGGTTTTTATAACATGAAGATTTTAAACAGACCTGACTAGTTAATTTTTTT